CGGAAACGCATTACCGCGAGAGATTCGTCTCTCACAGAGAGAGCAGCCGCCACAGCTGTTTGGGCGGCTATGAAGGCTAAAATGAAGATGGGTATGGGCTTGAAAACAAAGAAGCGAAAGAGAAAGAGGATACTTCTGATAGCGAAACGCGGCGGTATCCTGCCTGTTCTTCCGCTGCTGGGCGTCCTCGGGTCGTTGGTCGGTAGAGCGGCGAGAGTCGCCAAGGCTGTAAATGATAGCAGAGCAGCGGAGCGTCAGCTGGAAGAAATGCAACGTCATAATCGCGTCATGGAAGGTCACGGTGTTTATCTCGCTCCCTACAAGCGTGGACGAGGAGTAGTAAAGAGAAAAAAAAAAACGTCGATGAGACGTTAAAAATACCAACGGGTGTAACTACCAACGTGCAACTGCTACAACTTGCAAAACGTATGCGCATTCCGTATTTCAGAGGTATCTTTATGCGTACGACATTACCGGTGGAAGGAGTACGTCGAAACGAGAGCGGTATCGTGAATCTAGACAACGCTGAGGGATCCGGTACGCATTGGGTAGCGTACGCGAAAAGGGGGAATCGTGTCATATATTTCGACAGTTTTGGTAACCTCCGGCCGCCGAAGGAACTCGAGCGATATCTAACAAACTGTGTAATCCGGTACAATCACATACCTTATCAACGTTACAATCAGAGCAATTGCGGACAGTTGTGTCTACAGTTTCTACGGACGAGTGATAAACAATTTAAAGACTGACATTGCGCGGTTTAACTCAGTATTCGTTCAAACATGTCGCTGACGTTTACGCTGACGGGCAAGAGTAGTGTTCTAGCCGTGAGCTATTTTCCGGCGGTAGATTTGAGCGATGGCGATTACGAGCTCGGTCTAACTGACTTTGAAACATACTACACTCTACCGAATGTAAATTCGACAAACAACAAGTTTTATTTCGACAATGAGGAAATTGTGATTCCCGAAGGATCGTACGAACTGCGCGATATAGAGCGGTATTTGAAGCGTGAAATTTTACGTTCTCGTGGTGTAAAACGTAAGGAGGACGAAGAGTTTCCGCTGGTGATTCGCGCCAATAACAAAACGATGAGGAGTGAGATCAAATGCGCCTATTCGATAAATTTCACCAAACCTTACAATATTGGACAGCTGTTGGGATTTTCATCGAATAGCGTGCTCGAACCGCAACAGTGGCATGAATCACGTGCCGATAAATATCATCAACGTAAACATTATTCGTATCGAGTGCAACGTGATCGCGGGTGCGTACAGCAACGACAAGTGCGTGCACACGATACACGAGTTTTCACCGATTGTCCCACAAGGATATAAGATATCGGAAAGGCCGACGCAAATCATTTACCTTCCGATCGTCGTACGGAGCATTACGGATCTGACGATTCGCGTAGTGGATCAAGACGGCCGATTGCTCGATTTTCGTGGAGAGGAGATTGCCGTTAGATTGCATGTACGAAGACGACGGCGCTAACGTGAGATGCTTGTGCTGAATGAACAACCGAAACAGACGAGAGATTTTAACGGAGAGATTTTATCTAGAAAAAGACTCAGTGCGTCCAACGTTGCATTTTTAAAGTCGTTGGGTTTTATCGTACGAAATGGCTGATATCTTGAACATTGTCGGTGAGCCGATCTTTGACGATCGCATCGTCAAGTTTGAATTTCATACGTACAATCCATACGCCAATACCACGTTTGGACATAGCGACGAGATACGAATACCTATACAGCAGCAGGATTTATACACGTTGCCATGCGAAGGTTTTCTCTACATTGAAGGAAGATTAACTGTGAAGAAGAAGGATGATGAGACGCCAACAACGCTTGGAAATAATTGCATAGCGTTCATGTTTGATGAAATTCGGTATGAACTCAACAGTGTGGAGATTGATCGCAACAGAAATGTTGGAATTACCAGTACCCTCAAGAACTATGTATCGTTGACGTATGACAAGTCTTTGATTGCGTTGAACGCTGGGTGGAATTCTAGATCCGACATAACGGAAGGTTACTTTAACTTTTGCGTACCGCTCAACATGCTGTTGGGCTTTTGCGAGGATTACAAACGCGTGATTGTTAACGCTCGCCATGAATTGATTTTGATACGAGCGCGCAACGATAACAATTGTATACTGGGAAATTCAGCGACGGAGCCGGAGGTTGAACTGATCAAAGTGCAATGGCGGATGCCTCATGTTATGCTAAACGAGATCACTAAACTATCAATGCTGCGAGCATTGGAAAGCGGTCGTTATCTCAGTATGAGTTTTCGCTCATGGGATCTGTACGAGTATCCTCTGTTACAGAGTACGACGAAGCATACATGGGCTGTCAAAACGGCGACACTACTCGAGAAGCCGCGTTACGTTATCTTTGCTCTTCAGACCGGTCGAAAGAATATCATGTGTCAAGATGCGAGCGTGTTTGACGATTGTAAATTGAGTAATGTGAAGCTTTATCTCAACTCAGAGTTTTATCCATACGGTGATTTGAATCTCGATTTCGACCAAAAGAGATACGCTCTCCTGTTTGATATGTACTCTCGTTTTTGTAAGGCATATTACGGAATCGACTGCTTCGAAACGCTACTCAATGTACTCTCGTTTATCGAGAAAG